CAGCTTTTTTTCTCAAAACTTTGTCTTCAAAATAAGGGTGCGTCTTATATTCCGAAAAATACGGTATATATATTTATATAGAAACAAGCGAAGAAGTAGCTCCTTTCCTAGAGTATCTTTACTCCTCTGTCACAATTAATTTCATTTTCCATTCACATAATATTCACACTATAATGAAAGACACAGTATAGTAATCCATATCAAATCTCTCGAATAAATTTATTTTTTCATAAGCAGCCGTCCACTCCCTTTTCACTGCGTATAATCTCTTTAAAACTAAGTATCACTAAATCTTTTGTACTGCATATAAAATTACATTTTAGGTCGACTTTTGACTAGCTTCATCATTCGGCCTAACTGACGAGTTCGGTAATGTACGAAAGGCATCCTCAGCAGTGATTTGTGGTAGACAAAACGTAGTTCTGAAATACTATTTGTACACATCAGCGATTTGAAAATTGCAACGAACAAATTAGGAGGAACGTGGAAACCTATCTGCAGTCTTATAAGATACTTGTCGTTAATAACAGGCCTAAAAGTGTCATTATCATTCAGTAGTTATTTTACAGTTTGACGATATAACTACCATAGTTAGACGAGATTTAACTATTAGTAATATCACATGAAAATATCCTGAATACAACGGTGTAATTCGAAATGATACGAAGATAAAAGCTAAGCCTACATTATTTCATCATCAGATGACATTAAATAGTTACTGACCTATGCATTGGTCTTAAAACGAAATGACAATGTACCAGAAAAACAAAACAAATTAACCAAATAATAATAACACACAAGAGAAGTGAATGTCAGTAACGATCACTTTTATTTTTACTTACAAGTAACTGACATTTATTTTTTATAATGTACTTTTCTAATTCCTAAGTTAATAGTAGTTTAAGCTTATCGCACATTACAGGTACTGCTTGATTTAACAATAGGTCTTGTCTGTCTTTTAGTTTTTCAAAATGGAATGCCGAGCGTTATTTACATACAATTTTCAGGAATTTTCAAATAATAACAAAGTTTCTCTGATTAACAATTTTGAAAAGAAATGGTTATTTTGTTTTTAACAATTTAAAGTACTTTATAAAATGACAACAATCAAACAAACGGCTGAACTAAGTATTCTATGAGACTGAGATTGGATCACGGTGGTGAATTCATTCATTTTTAATTAATACACAATTTTCTAACTATTTATTTTGGAACATCGATCTTTTGATTTCATTAGAATTAAACTGATATTGCTATATCTTTTTATAAGTTTGGCTTCGTATTTTGGTGACTGTAATTTATTTGTTCACTCTTCGCTGTTTCGTTTTGTTTCTCTTCTTACACCTACGCACTGTGTGGGTAACCATCACAAACGTTTCGTTTATTTAACTTAGATATCGCAATTTGACGCAAATGAGAACTTGCTGGTACACAAAACAAAACTATGAAAGAGCTAACAAAATTCTTTCTACTTTTGGTTTGTTATCCCTCTTTCTTCATTAATAGTTTTTTTTGTTCAGTAGTAAAAATTCTGAAAAAAAAAGTATATTTTATAGAAAAAGTTGATGTTCTACTTTTAACATAAAATGTACATTAGACACAAAACGATACCCGAAAAACCTAAGATGAAACTAATTATTTGTATAGCATAAATCATCTTAGGATTTAACACTTATATAAGTGTGTTTATTATTAATTAACCACTAACCTGCACGATCTGTGCTGTGCCAACCATACAGCGATGGAACTCTGAAAATCAGAGTTATAAGCTTTCTAGCTTAACGCTGAGACATTGGGAAGCATTTGTAAAAATAAATAGAATGTTATTTTTTTAAACCATTCTTGTCAAAACATTTAGAGGTGGTCTAGTTGTAGTGATAGAAACCCTTTAAATTCCACACCAAAGTGATAAAACAGTATACAAAACTAATGTTCTAAGTGCTTGACAGTATCAGGATTATTTTTCTACGCCTATGTAGGTTGGCAGCACTAGACTACCAGTTAGTTGTGTTTGAAACTATAATAATATACTTGCTGCAGATGACCAAAGGTCGATCGTGTTTCTGTTTTTAGTTTATTTTCTGTGATATGAATGGGACAAAATACATAGAACACTGTGATCTTTAATGAATACACTTTTTACAGCTCATGTTTTTTTAGTCGAAAACGGAAATGAGAAAGCAAGTTCAAATTTCAGATATTACTGGTGCCAGTTGCAAATGCTGACACTACAGAATTGCCAACCTACACTTGCTTTTAACATTACGACTTGCTAAGTAAGAATTTGAACAGAAAACTAGAAGCATCCGTCCTAAGACAGCAAGAGAGTAAGCAACGAATACAGTACATTTCTGAAAAATTTCCAAAGGAAAAAAATATGGCAAATGGTAAGATATCACAGCCAAGACATAAATAATTCTGTGAATATGCCAAATTCAGAAAACCTTTCAGATTATGTGGTAATGTCTAAAAATAACAAAGCAGGATGAGATTTATTTTTTAACGACAGATGATAAAAATGTGTTTTATATTTTCTACTGCCACTAAATGTTTCAAAGTTTACGAATTTCAAATACATTATCTGTAGCGTAAAAAAAGCGGAGAGAGAAACGAAAACATCTGGTTGCTTATATTTTAAACTTCAACCTCACTTACTAAATGAGACAAAAGTATTAAATGTTATGTAAAAATAACTTATAAGCCTTTATGTTAGTAATAAAAAATGACAGTAAACGGTAGATGTTTTTTTACGCATAACTCAATTATTCCATTACGGATTTCAAATCAGAGGCTTATAAAATTTGGAATATTTCTATCTGCCACATGATCCTCCCAGGAAACATTTTATTCAATATCAAATCAAGTCTGATTTGAAATCCATAATGGAATAATTAGGTGGAATGTGAAAAAATAGAAACGCAGGTTAGTGTGTTTTTATCCCTAATATTAGGCCTACTGGTATCATTGCTTCTCCAGCTTTCGGCCTTTAAAAACCATAATATTTTGTACAAAAAATAAAATAGAATTTCAGATAAATATTTATCTACTATCACTTCTATTCCAGCTGACATGTTTTGACAATGAGCGAAATGTTTCTTGGGTAGTTACATCGGATAGACAAAAAAGAAAAAAGAAAGCTATTTGAATTTGAAATCTGTAATGGATCAATTAGAAGGAATGTGAAAAACGAACTTCTGCAATATATTATGCTTTTTATCATTAATATCAGGCTTACTAGTATTATTGCTTCGCCGACTTTTGGCGTTTAACATAAAATGTTTTAAAAATAAAAACTTTGTTTGGAAATAATTTCCTTTCAAATATTTAATGTAATGATGACTAGAGTGTAAAAAGAATAGTAGTAGTTACTGCCTTATCATTCGCTCTATTTTCATTTCATCGGGAGTGTACGCTCTTAATAGTACAATGGTTAAAGCTCTTTAGCTTAATTAAAGATCTCTAGTTGCTGTATTTTGAAAAAAACAAACTAACTGTAAAATGAAATGCAAAGCAGTAAAAAACAACAAAAAAAGGCAAATGTTCTTTTGGGACTAACCGGTCGTTCTCATTTACTTCATATATATATTTTCATCTTTTTTTTTCACATAATTCTTAAGAATCATGAACCTTTAATACTATATTCTAGTTCGGTACAATTCATAATAGAATTAGTTATGCGCTCAAAAATTAAATGTTCATTGATTCTCAAATTAATATTTTTCATGCCACCTAAAAATTAGTTGTTTTAAATTTTATTTAGTTCGTAAAAGAAAACAGGAAAATGTTGCAAGATTCTGAGTTTCCCTGAAAAAAAGAATAATCTCAACAAGTATTTCTCGTTACTGTCATTTTACACTTAGAAGTACCATATAATTTAACCAACTCAACAATTCGTTTAGGCAACTTTTAATTTAAATTGTTAGCTTACTATACAATGCAAACTTGAAGCTTACGTCATCAACAATATAACAGTATATTTTACCAATAAACATCGTATGTTCTTTGAATAAAATTTTTTTTCGTTTAAAAACACTTATAAATCTACTTTCTACTGATTATTGCACTGTATAATGTATAGCATTATTCGGTTGTTTATTGTTCATTCCTCCAGAATATGTCTTCGGCATATACTATTAAAAAGTTACAATAATTGGCTTTTATTTAATAAAATAGTATTATGATGCTTACATTTTTTGGTATTTGCTTTTTTCTCTCCTTAGATATGCATATTTTTCGAATATTCTGAAAATATGTTACGTTTATTGAATATTCATTCATTTTTTCAATGATTTGCGGATCTTTTAGAATATGAAAAATAAAAACTTTCATCTAGTTTTCATCATAACTTTTTCTAATTACAAAATTATTTCATTTACTCTGAGCTACAGCATTATTTAAAACTTTGTTTTTGTAAGCTCCTTGATAATACAATTCAAATATTTAGAATTTTAAATTTTATGTACTACTACTTTTATCTTTAAATATCATGTAAAATATTATGCAAATCAATAGGCAAGAACATAAAAAATCATCATCATATTAAAAGATGTGCTTAATCTCTAGAAAATACTTAACTTTAGAAATGATGTTAAGAAGAAAGATTTTTGCTTTAGACCACCATATTTTTATTCAACGTTAATAAAGAGAAAACGTCCCTTCATATGGGAACATTCTCTTTGCACATTTTAAACAAGTAAGAACATAAAAAAATAATATCACCTTCATTAGATGGAAGAACTGTCTTATATAATGTTTCCGTGTGTTTCATTTTTGTTGAGTCAAAATTGGTAAGTTCGTTCTTCATAGCTGAAGGAACGGTAGGAAGGTCTTCTTTTTTTGGGCTAGACATGGCGTACTGTAGAACCGAGTTGAAACAATCTAGATAATCATAACGATAAGAAGAGAGGAACATAAAATATATAACACTGACACTAATGCCTGTTCTATGAAAAAATTATACAATTTTGATTTAATTATAAGAAGTCGATATCAAATCATCATTAAGCATTTTAGTGACTTGCAGCAATGATGGTTGTGCAACACTTCTTGTATTAATGACACTAGCACAGAACTGACTTACAGCAGTGCTGCTAGTATATCAGGTGTTTAGTGACACTAGCACAGTACTGACTTACATCAGTGCTGCTTGTACATAAGGTGTTTAGTGACACTAGCACAGTACTGACTTACAGCAGTGTTGCTTGTATATCAGGTGTTTAGTGACACTAGCACAGTACTGATTTACATCAGTGCTGCTTGTATATCAGGTGTTTAGTGACACTAGCACAGTACTGACTTACATCAGTGCTGCTTGTACATAAGGTGTTTAGTGACACTAGCACAGTACTGACTTACAGCAGTGTTACTTGTATATCAGGTGTTTAGTGACACTAGCACAGTACTGATTTACATCAGTGCTGCTTGTATATCAGGTGTTTAGTGACACTAGCACAGTACTGATTTACATCAGTACTGCTTGTATATCAGGTGTTTAGTGACACTAGCACAGTACTGACTTACATCAGTACTGCTTGTATATCAGGTGTTTAGTGGCAATAGCACAGTACTGATTTACATCAGTGCTGCTAGTATATCAGGTGTTTAGTGGCAATAGCACAGTACTGATTTACATCAGTACTGCTTGTATATCAGGTGTTTAGTGACAATAGCACAGTACTGACTTACAGCAGTGCTGCTTGTATATCAGGTGTTTAGTGCCAGTAGCGCTACAATAATAACTTTCATTAGGGTTGGTTATATAGTTCCTCAGGTTATTAGTGTTAGTAGCACAGAAATGACTTGCAGCAGTACTGCTTGTATATCAGGTGTTTAGTGCCAGTAGCACAGAACTGACTTACAGCAGTGCTGCTTGTGTATTTCCTCAGGTTATTAGTGCCAGTATTGGTTTACAGCAGTGTGTTTACTTGGTTATTAGCAGTAACCTATTACTAGATTGCAGTAGAAATGACATTTAATGGTATAACTTCAGTTGTCCAGTGGTAGTAATACAACACTAACTGACAGTAGAGTTGGTTGTTACAAAACATGTAACTGCAAAAACATAGAATAATAATAACAATGATAACTATGGCAAAATTATTCACACCTACAAGGTTTTCTATTTATGGTTCTTTTTAGTTCAGTTAATTCATATTAATTCCACGACCATTAGATATTATGATTTCCACTTCTTCACAAAAAAATGACGTCGAAAATAGTTGTTCATAAAATTAACAAACGACAACACCAAACAAACAAAACACAGGTTTTGTGACAGGTCAAAACGTTTTCTGTGGCAACATATCTTATTTCGGATTTAAATAAATTAAATGCGTTATAGTAAAATAGAAATATATATCGTTCCAGCTGGTGATATAAAATAAACAGTAGAGTAGTATTTGTTTGCATCTGTTTATTGCAATTCTACAAAATGGGCTACCTGCACTCTATTAACTAGGGACACTAGTTTATCACTGCAAAATTAGGGACTGCTAGCAATATCTGCCAGGAACAAGTTTCGTTTGTTTTAAATTCCACGAAAATCTACACGAGGGTTATCTGCGCTAGCCGTCCCTAATTTAGCAGTGTAAGACTAGAGGGAAGGCAACTAGTCATCAACTCCCACCGCCAACTCTTGGGCTACTCTTTTACCAACGAATAGTGAGATTGATAGTCACATTATAACGCCCCCACGGCTGAAAGGGCGCGCATGTTTGGTGTGAAGGGCCTAGCTATATAGGGAGGGTGTAAACGCTGGAGTGGAGGGACTACTGAACTATACTGGAATGATGCATGGATTGAATTTAGTAACTGCATGTGTTTTATACATGCACGCGCATGCAATACATATTGTCTAGTATTTACACGTATATATATACATACAGACTTCACAGTTTAAGCTGTAAAGCCGTATATATTGCTAGCCATATGAATTGTTCAATTTGTATAGATGTATGCATATTTGTTCAATGCAAGTAAAATAAAATGTGTGATAATATAACATGTATACAAATAATCATTTTTAATATTTTTTATAGTTATATTTCCCCCTCCTTCTCTCTCTGTTGGCCATAGTAAGGCCGGTCACTGTTTTGTTGCAGCTGTCCAGATGTCTTCTTAGAGTGACATTCTGTACACTCTACAAGGTCGAAAACTTGTTAATTAAGAATTATGAATTGATTATATTAATATACCTTTATCTCCTCCATTTCTGATGGAATTTGGGTCATGACACTTCTACGACCCTAAACTCTGGTGGGTTGTTGCTGCTGCATACTTTATTTGAAACTAAATATTTTCTAAATCAAATGTGTAGTAAAAAATTTCTGTCTCGCTTTCGGCTAGAATCGCCATCTCCTGCGTGCACGTCACTTCTTATGGTCAGCTACAAGGATGGCTACTCCATCTGCAGTATCTATAAAATTCACAATCACGCAGTGTTGGCTATGATTCAGCACTTACCATCAGTCATTACCGTGATAGCCGATCCGGTGCTCGAAACTGGTCTTGGTGCTATCTTTTAAACTACGGCCTAAAGATTTCTGTAGTGGGAAATAACTTAGACGTTTGTGTAACATGGCCGAAATCGATCGTGTAATGGTAAAAACAAAGAAACTGTGATCCTGTCAGCAGTGTCGTGTCCGAAATGGCAGGAACCCTACACATAAACAAATACTACGCCACATCAGTATAGTTGCAACAGTAAGTTAATAATCGCTATACTACATGTATTATGCCTGCCATATAAACATTAAATTATATCCACCGGCCTGCACGTATTCATAGTGGATTATGAGGTTTCGTATAAACCACAGACTGCATTAAAGCGATTCGGTGTCAACAGTTGTACAGCCACTGTTGTTTGCTAGGTAGTCAAATAAACTTAAAAAACTACCTAACACAATGCACAATGATGCGTTTAGTAATATTGTTAGATTTTATTATAATACTCACGGTATTATTTTTGCGGTAGACTGGCGGAACAATATTAAATAATAATAATGAAGAACATATGGGCGATCCCTATTATGAACCACTACTGTAGTTCATGATACTTAACTATCTGATCAAAAACACCTCAGGTGTGAAAAAAAATATGCGGCCAAAAAAGGATTGAGCGTGTGACTTAAATCAAGATTGGTGCCAAACTGGTAGCTGCACTTAGAGCATTGATAAAAATTTTACAACAAATATTCATTCATTAGTTAGCCAGATCACGTTTTTTGTTCAACTTGAGGCCTAGCTAACTAGGCTGCAAAAATCTTATCAATGTTGTAAGTGTAACTTAAATATTGAAAGTGTACCAGTTTGGCCGCCAATTGGTCGTCTGAAGGCTTATAGTGTTAAAAACCGGGTTTCGATATCTGTGGTGGACACAGCACAGATAACTACCGTGTAGGTTTGTGATTAATAACAACGAAATTATCAAACAAACCACGAGATTTATCATTCATCCCTTCCTTCAGGTTACTTCTTACTCAAACCCAGTTCAGTGGAGTCGATATAGTTCGTGCGCTGCTGTGTTACCCATACAGTATATAACGATGTAACAAGACTTGAACGTTGTTCGTGCGCTGCTTTGTTACCTATACAGTATATAACAATGTAACAAGACCTGAACGTTGTTCGTGCGCTGCTGTGTTACCCATACAGTATATAACGATGTAACAAGACTGAACGTTGTTCGTGCGCTGCTTTGTTACCTATACAGTATATAACAATGTAACAAGACCTGAACGTTGTTCGTGCGCTGCTGTGTTACCCATACAGTATATAACGATGTAACAAGACCTGAACGTTGTTCATGCGCTGCTGTGTTACCCATATAGTATATAACGATGTAACAAGACTTGAACGTTGTTCGTGCGCTGCTGTGTTACCCATACAGTATATAACAATGTAACAAAACCTGAACGTTGTTCGTGCGCTGCTGTGTTACCCATACAGTATATAACAATGTAACAAGACTTGTACGTTGTCCGTGCGCTGCTGTGTTACCCATACAGTATATAACAATGTAACAAGACTTGAACGTTGTTCGTGCGCTGCTGTGTTACCCATACAGTATATAACAATGTAACAAGACTTGTACGTTGTCCGTGCGCTGCTGTGTTACCCATACAGTATATAACAATGTAACAAGACTTGAACGAAAAATTAATTTAGTTTTTAACAAAACGAATGAAGATACACTGCAAAAAGTACATTTTTTATTTTATTCTGATAAACTAACACAAAAACTGAAATAAACACGAACATTCACTTTATCATTAACTTCAAATAGTCTGTAACATTAAAACGTAAAGTAAAAAGATTAGGAGTTATGCTGTAAGATAAACAAAATGCAGAAACACGAGTAAACGAAAGTGTACACGCTCTGAAAGTTGTTAATAAGTTTCTTACTTATGAATATCCATCTATATAAATAAAATAAGTAATTTGTTGCACTTCTGGACTTTAGATAAGAACATTAGGAAACCGGTACACATATAGTTAGAACTAGCACGTGGTTATCATTTAAATAAATAATCACAAAAATCGTGCCAATGTATTGTCCGAGCAAGACTTGTACATGGCGAACGAGATCTGCCCCAGTTACCTGCTGACTGAGCAAGCAATTGGAAAGAAAAAGTTGCTGACATCAATATTAATCAAATAATTGAGTGAGGTCTGATGTATTTGTTGTAATGCGACAGGTATCTCAGAGAAAGCGGATAAACACAAACTAAGAGAAATATTATCCCCTTCGGGTTAATCCACCAGAAACCGGCTGAGACGGATAACACAAAAACTGGATTGTTACTTGTTGGGGGATTAGTCAGTCATAATCGTAATAATGTTAACCTCGTGTTCTAAATTCACAGTCATGGAACTAAACAGTAGACTAAAATTATGAATGATTTCTTTTTCTCGTAAAACAGTGTACGGCAGTGATTAACTATAACGTTACAATATAATTCAGTGATCACACTAAATAAGGGTTTAAAAAGTTCTCTTTCGAATAGGTTAAAATGTGTTTTAATAAAGGTTTTAATTAAATAACTGTTCCAAAATTACTGAACAATATTATATGCATCTGTACGGAAAGGTAGGGTAAGATAGCCACCTTAACTTTGAATGTTGTTTTAACAAATTAAGACGAACGTATGAAAAAGCAAAATGTTTTGAAATAAGCACTGTTTTATTATAAATGTCGTTTCTAGTAAAAATAAAGACATGACATAAACCTTTTGGTTGAATAATGAAAAAAATCTACTTCGTTTAGTTGAGGGCCATTTTACCGATAGGATTGGATGAAAAAGAATCCCTAAGATGGGGTTCAAATTCTCCACTCTAACTCATAACAACTGCAATTTACTACAAATGATGCGTTTAGCAAGATTTAATTCACTTAGGTAAATCATTATGTGTCACGCGGAAGTTGTTCATTATCTAGAACAGTACTACGTGGGTACTAATGAGGGGCAATAAGGAACCTTCTGACTTAAACTTATGGGGAACTTCTTTGGTTTCGGGTAAGACAGCCCTTCTTACCCTAATCTTACCACTCATCTTAAAACAACGCATTTTATAAAAATCAAAAACTGGAACTGTTTCTTTTACGGCATAGTCGTCTGTCTATAATTTCTTATTGTTTGCAATCAACAAAGTGAAATTCCCTAAAATACCTCCTTTGTAACTACAAAAAATCCAAAGAACTTACCATAGGTCAAAGTTGTTAAAAAATTAAGTCGCTCTTTGATAATTATATTTCGACAACATCTATTAGTGTGTTTATGCACGAGTTTAGCGTACAAAACGTGTATACTACTAAAAATCCCAAATTATTGTTTTTAGATCACAGTGGAAGTTCTAAAGTAGACAAGTTACATAACGAGCACACTTTTACTCATAAATAAAACTCAAATTTGGTATTGTGATAAAAAGAAAAACGTGATTAGAAACTAGTCTAGGCCTGGCAGACAAATCCCATTGAAAATATTTGTAAAATGCGGCTTGATATAACGACCAGCCATAGTTTTTAAGCTTAAACTTTAAAGTATCATAGATATAATGCCACTGAGAACACTTGTTTTAAAGCACATCTGTAGGAAAATGTTTCATTTTATGTGAAGGTGTTCAAAGTACTAATGAAAAGATACAGATTTTCACTAATTTATAATCATTCAATATAACATTTAGAGACACAAGTGATTAGTTGATAAAATCAATACTTTGGTATCTGTTATACTTATTCATTTCACTAGCCTACAGGTTTGAAAGAATCAAATATAATTGAGGAAAAGTTGCACACTAATTTAAGGTTTCTTAATTTAATATTTTCTAGTCGTGAGTTAATAAATGATTTATGAAATGCATATCCTAAAACTAGTTACAGTAACTTACTGGTGACTTTTGATAAAATGTAGTAACTTTAATATACTAATCAAATTATGACTAATAGCATAATTAACGTCTCTTTACAAATTATATATTTTTGTTACGTTTTTTAGTGGTATAACTCTTTCAAATATAAATATTAGCATTATAGTACTGAAGTTTCAGTAACTTTTTTTCCTGGACAGATCTATGTTTTATTATCAAATTTACACGCTCCCCAGTGGCACAGCGGTACGTCTGCGGACTTACAACCCTACAACCCGGGTTTCGATACTCGTGGTGGGCAGAGCACAGATATCCCATTGTGTAGCTTTGTGCTTAATTATAAACATATTTAAATTCGGTAATTTCTTAAAAAAGATAACGAGGATGTAGACTTTTAGTAAGGTAAAAATCCATCAAATCACAGTGGTGTAAGAAGGAGTGGGGGTGCTTAGGTAGACATGTATATTTTACAATGAGATTGAAAGTATAAGGAGCTGCTATAAGCTCCAGTGCTGCCAAAGGTAGCTCAATCTAGGAGATCCTTGGGGGGGGCATTCCCCCCAGAAAATTAATTTAATAATATAATTTACAGTTGCTATACAACTTACAAGTCAAATATGTAAAAATAAAGGTACTACAGCATCCCCAGCACCCCCTGTTCCGACGCCTCTGAATTATAAAGCTTATTTACAACCATTTACGACTAGCGAGCGTCAATTAGTTAAATACCAACTATAGATTTATGATGGAACTAACACGGAACGGAGTTATGTTTTCCTTTACTAGTTAAAACACAACAAATAAATTATTTTGGTGATAATAACCACTTTTAGTAGTTTGATAGTTAGAGGCTTTTTGATATGAAGTTTGTATTCAAATCTTGTTGATGAAAACAATATATGAATAGACTGTTCCAATTCGAAGTATTCTTTCTACGCTGTTGAGCTGAATTACTGAAGTTAAACTGCAAATGAAATCTCCAATCCACCATTTTTTAAGACATAGATCAGGATATCACGTACCTGGCGTTATCGAAGATAAACCAAAGACCTGAATTACGATGACCTAAAGAACACTGTTTCAGGTTCTCTCGATGACAACGATTTGATGCCCCCTTTCTTCTTCAAATATCAGACACTCATTCAGTCCTGCCCGACTTCTTCGTTGTGAAACACCACTGTGAGCTAAGTTAAGAAGGGCAGCCACGTATCTTCCGCCTCTTACAGCTTCACTTGTATGACGCGTATATATACAATACTTAACCGGATAGTTCTGCTGTACTGATTTCCTGGCCAACAAAGACAAGTTGTCAGCATGTGTGGACTGAAACCAAACTTAAAACGCGGGGCTGGAACCGGATATAAATAACTTAAGCACCTTCCTTTTACAGATTTTTTGTTCTTAGATATCTCATTTACCCAATTTGTTCATGTCTTTATTTTTTGTTAGATTTTTTTTTTATTATCAATAATAAGTTTGTTTTATATGGAATAATGTTTCTGTCTTGGGTTAAAACATCTTGTATAGGTATACATATATAAAAGTATGGTTTAGTGCTGTTTTTTTAGCTTTCTATATATTTGTAATAAATTGTCGATACTAATAAATCCAACGGAAAATAGTAAATAAATAAATCCAGTTGTCATTACATAAGAAAAAAGAAAACAATAATAACATGAACACATTTCGCATGTTTAACGTTCATATGCACAAAGATCTGAATCAAATCGTTTTGATGAATAACGTTCATATGCACAAAGATCTGAATCAAATCGTTTTGATGAATAACGTTCATATGCACAAAGATCTGAATCAAATCGTTTTGATGAAAGATTACAAGACCAAACAGGAACGTTCTAGTAAACCTGGATAAAGATTTTTACAGTTGTCTCAGTTTAAGTTCTGATAATCTTAAATGTAAACAGTTTTCAGGTTATTCCAAAGTTTATTTTCCTTTGTACTTTTATTGATACAATTTTTATTCACTTTTCATTTTAATACAGGTTTGACATCCAACGCGCCACAGGTCCACGAATCTGTTTTTATTTCAAGTGTCAGGTAACCGTATGTTTTGTTAATCCATGGAGCACCACATAGTAAACATTAAGGTTTATGGATTATTTTAACTACATTGTAATTAAGCTAAACCATTTGATAAGGACTGCATAAGGACTAACGGTTATTCGCTGGAAGGTTAAATTCTGTTGAAGTCTAAGATTATAATATATTCAAGCTGTTATTCAAAGTTATTTCAATCAAATTTACTAGTTTGTTCTCAAAGCAGCCAAATGAAGTTGATTTTCATCTTGTAGTAAAAGAGACATAAAAATGTTTGAAATGTGTGAGTAAAGATGTCAAGCGCTCTGTCAGCGAATGTGTTCAGAGTTTCCAAGATGAATTATCTAAGCCGTGAGAATATATCTGCTAGACGGAAACCAGAATACGAACTTCTCTGTTAGAATAAAGACATTTAGAATGCTGCCTTATTAATCCGTTACATAAATATACTCACTTATTTTAAAATCGCCTTAGGTAGTGATATTCATTCAACAACAACAAAGACAGAATAACGTGTCACTATTCTACTGGTTTAAGAGCGACTAATAATTGATTCTGTATACTAGCCTTTTATCTATTTAACCAGATGGAACATTTCAAATTTTCTCAGTTGTTTTCCTCACTTACTTTAAATAAACAAACCAGTGAATATAAGATGACAAAGAATCTTTTAAATCCTACCAAGATTTTCTTTATTTTTGGGAGGGTGTGTGTGTCGGGGGGGGGGGGGTAAAGATAAAATCTGCTTATAAAGACTTACGACTGTTGGATGTTGATTTAGTATCAGCCAGATCACAGTACTGGATGATGATTTAGCATCAGCCAGACCACACTACTGTATAATGTTGTATTATTTATACATGATACCAAAGTTCAACAAATTATGGTATCTCCCTTGTTCCACGTAAACTTTTAAGATTTGTGTGTGTGGGCGATATGGACATTCTTTGATTAACGTTTTGGAAAAGATGATTGATTGTGTTCCAATAACGTGTTAAAGTTTATCTTCACGAACACATTTATCATTATTTACCCATGCAGGAACTGTCGTTACAACTTAAAACTAATACTAACGTAGTTCATAGTTACATTGCAGGAATAGACAGATATTGATCAAATGGTCTTGTAGATGGTAATGATATATGTTACACTAGCAGGATGCGGTATTAAACCAACTTCTTGATGCATGCGTTTTTCTAATGTTCAAAGGAAAAATAATAGTACTTACGGTCAGTCAGACCACACTACTAGATGTGACTTTAGCATCAGCAAAACTATAATTCTGGATATTGGTTTAGTATCAGCCACACCACAATACTGGATGTTGATTTAGCATCTGCCAGACCACACAACTGAATGTGAATTTAGCACCAGCCAAACTACACTACTGGATGTTTATTTAGTATCCACTAGACCACACTACTGGATGTTGATTTAGTACAGGCGGACCACACTACTGAATGAAGGTTGAGCATAATCCAGACCACACTGGATGTGGATTTTGCATCAGCCAAACTACACTACTGGATGTTGATTTAGAATCAGCTAGATCACACTACTGGATATTGGTTTAGCATCAGCCAGATCATACTACTGGATGATGATTTAGTATCATCCAAACTACACTACTGGATTTTGATTTAGCATCAGCTACACCACAATACTAGATGTTGATTTTGTATCAACCAGACCACACTACTGGATAATGATTTAGTATCAGCCAGACCACACTACTCGACACCTAGAATGGTAGAAATTTGGTTATGAAGTTGATGTTAAATATAGTTGTTCTTCATCTTTAGTTAGAAAACAATAATAATAATAAATACTACATATTAATTAGCTAGGGTTCAATAACAAATGTAAAATTTAGATTTAATGTATTAGTTGGACTTTGAAGTGATGGTGTTAGCTTAACTTAGTGATTAACATGCCGCAATAAGCTGCTGAACACACTTCACACTTTCAGCTGTGAAGTAATTGTAAGAGTAGTTGCTGCATAGGCGGCGAGTGCTGCTGACTAGTTGCCTCCCTCCCCTCTTGATCAACAGGTTTCAATTAGATATAGTAATGACTGAACCTTAAGAGTCTCTGGCTTTTTTATTTTAACTTATTTACAAAATATAGCTCCCCAGTGGTATAGCAGTATGTTTGCGGACTTACAACACTAGAAACCGGGTTAGGATACCCTTCGTGAACAGACCACAGATAGCCCATTGTGTAGCTTTGTGTTTAACTTTAAACAAACCAAATATAAACTAATAAACGTAATCAACTCCTAATTAAACTCATTATACCAGTTATGTATATATATATATATATTTCATTAAAAGTGTTTGATCTGTCTCTTTCAAGTTTTCCTTCGCTATAAATGTTTTTTTCCTCCAATTGTTAGAACACTATTGCCATTGAGGTTGAATTTTAAAAACTTACCACAGACTAAAGTTGAGTGAACGTGACCTCTGTCTGTACAATGTCACATTTACAGTCTGAGACAGAGAGCTGAGATAACCTTATGGGGAGAAAGAGGGAGAGTGATGATTTGGGATCGGAGAGGATATGTGTTACATTCCTTCCAAGTGAATCAGCTGCTTTCTGTGGTATAGACTAGCTTGTGAACATCATTTCTGTAGGTAAAACAAACAATGAATATGATAATAATAAGTGGCTTCTTGTGTGTAATATATATATACAAAAACATAGTAAATTAAAAATATTGTGTCACATAGCTCAAAGTGTTCAACATATAGAACAGTTACTATAAATTAATAGTTTTATAGGATCCATAATTATACTATATTAAAAATATTGTGTCACATAGCTCAAAGTGTTCAACATATAGAACAGTTACTATAAATTAATAGTTTTATAGGATCCATAACTATACTATATCAAAAATATTGTGATGAAAGAAACATAAGTTGTTCCAACAAATGTGTCACTATTACCTTAGAAAAGAAACTTCGTTTGTTTGTAGTTTAAGCACAAAACTACACATTGGGCTATCTGTACTCGGCCCACCACGGGTATTGAAACCCGGTTTCTAGCATTGTAAATCCGCAGACATGCCGCTGTGCCACCGGGGGGGGGGGAGGTAGAAGAGAAAGACCGACAAATGTGTTGCTATTACCTTAGAAAATATAGGCTTGGAATTAGAATACAGAAGAAGATAAATCCCCCTCCCCCCCAAAAAAAAGAAAAGGAATAACAGTTCTTATATAGTTGAATGAAAATATATCTATTACACCGCTCAGAGTCGAGTGGGCTAAATGTTGATGACAAAGGGGCATGCAATGATGCCGCCACAGTTTCAGGGTGAGTCAACATCACAGATTTATCTCTCTATCCTAAAAATAGGGCACATTGCTGCTGGTTATCGTGATGTCTAGAACATTCCCAGCTTGAACAGTGTACACCCTATAAAATAACGCCAGAAGTGTGGCCTGAGTTTATATATATATTTAGCTTTTCTTCTCACGTATACATCTTTAAATTTGACATCATGTGGTTTGATCGTAAATTATAAAACACTGACACCAAGCTAGAGTTCATCAAGTGAATATTTCGGTATTACAGAAACGAAATAATTTATGTTTTTATAAGGTAGAGTAAAAAAAAACAACTTTGAAATTCAACCTGTTCCATAAAAACTTACAATCACGTGATAAACTGTGTAGCGTATGCCGGTGCTTCAAAAAGAACTTACATTCGTGATGAAAGTACTGAAAACAAAAATAAACTAACTAGACTCCGTTACGTTGATGTTTTTTATGGACTTTCTTACCTGTCCTTTTGAGGGAAAACAAATGTATTAAAAACAACGTGAGCATGCCACAGATTGTGTATACTAGATGGTATTGTGAAGACACTTTCTCTTATGGATCTTCCTACACATGCTCTTTTGAGGCAGAATAAATACACAAAATGCTTAAAAAACAATGTGAGCATGCCACAGATTGTGTATACTAGATGGTATTGTGAAGACACTTTCTCTTATGGATCTTCCTACACATGCTCTTTTGAGGCAGAATAAATACACAAAATGCTTAAAAAACAACGTGAGCATGCCACAGATTGTGTATACTAGATGGTATTGTGAAGACACTTTCTCTTATGGATCTTATATGCATTTATGTCGCTATTGTAGGTAACAACTAATTTACATACGACGTTGTAACTCT